AATAGATCACCAAAGGTATACGTTCTTGAGATTTATTAATCAAAATATCTAAAAACCCAAATACAAGTGTTATACAAGAATAGTTGACCCAAATTTACCAAATATGGATACTTCATCAAATACTCAACGCATGATAGATATCAAGTAAAACACATTAATATTTCAAAATACTTATTTTGGCATGTACATAGTTTTCACAAAACAACTTAAACACATCTTGTTACGTCAGGTTAAACCTAGGTCCCAAACCTGTTTCTAGTTTCCAAAAGATGAAGATCTGAAATCCTCAAACAAATCCCACCAAGGAAATTTCTCTAAACCTGTTATCCAAGCTAAAGAAGCACCAAACATTAACTCTAGTTTCAAATTCACTAAAAACCAAATATAGATCTTATAATACTTAAAAAGTCTTACCTTTTCAATCTTGCAAGATCTAGGTTCAATCCCTTGCAATATCCAAGTTGGATCTCCTCCAAAAGCTCCAAAAGTATTACAAACAACTCTCAAAGATCGCCCAAAATGAGAGAGGATTAAAGTGGGTGAAGAATGGACAAATCCTAGCTTAAAAATGGGGTTTAAAACTTGATCTAGGCGTTCATGCAACCTTAGTTGTGTGGTAAGTCGCCCACGTCCAAAAACCCGTTTTGCTGAAACAGAGAGTTGCATGGCTTTTGTCGTGGCCTAGAAGCGGGATTTTCTGCTTCGTTCTCGATGTCACTTTTCTCTACTAGAACTTGCCCGTTGCCCATACCATAAACTCTTATGACTCAAAGCACTCCACTCAAGATATGACCTCCAAGGACTTGTCGTAATACATCAATCTTAAAGATATCTCACAAACTATGGGTCTTACATCATTGTTTTAACTTAATATATATTTTATAATTCATTGTAATTTTAGGTAATTATAAAATATAATGTTTAAATTAATTTAACTATATTGTATTTATATTTTGTTAAAAAAATAATATGTATACGTAAAATACTTTTTAAACTTGATTAATTAATTTAATTAAAAAAATAAATTGACATTGATTTATTTACAGAATATATTGTTTTATAAAAAATTAATTTACTTAAACAATTTAATTATTAAACAAAAATTACTTGAATCTATTTATTAAAAAAAAGGTAATATGACTTGCAATTGATCTTTCACTTGTTATAAAAATATATTCAAACATTTTTATAAAATCATAATTAATATAAAATCCCTTTGAGATTTAATTATAACAAAAGCATATCATATCTTGAGGTTGACAAGTCTTTTAACAAACAAGGATCCATTACTTCATAAGAACGTATATAAAACATAGTATCAATAAACGAAGAAAAAATAATTTGCCGATACTCGTCTAAAAACACAACCATTTCGAATTCAATCTTGTTGTCATGATCTAGGATCCTAAGGATCGTTTGGTTCACGGAATTCGAAGGAATTTGATGAAATTGAAATGGTAAATTTATTTGATCAAATTTCAATTCATTTGTTTGGTTTATTTCTTGAAATGGATGGAATCCTTCAAATTCCATTGCATTCCACAAATTAATAAATTTATCATTCCTTGGCATAATGGAAGAAATTGAATTCCATCACCACCCACCATGACCATGTTACTATTGTTCGTCATGCCTTACCTCTAAACCCGACCACCATCCCACCACTGTTGTTGTCACAGCTACCACCCCGCCACCCATCCCCACCGCCCCGCATTGCCGCCCCACCCCCCAACAGCCCCCACCTATGAAGCAGGGGTGGGGCAGGAGTGGTGGGGGCGAGGTTGGGGTGGTGGAGCAGGGTCTGGGTAGGGGTAGGGCAGGGTGATAACTGCGGCGACGACAATAGTGACATGGTGGTTGGTAAAGTGTGGGCGGGGCGATGAGTGCGATAGTCCAAACAAAGACGATCGTTCAAATTCTTTTGAGAAATTTCATTCCAATTCCTACCAACCAAACATGTGGTCAAATTCCATCAAATTTCATTTCAATTCCTTCAAAGTCAAATTCTTTTTATAGATTCCAATTCCATCAAATTTCATTATGTGAACCAATCACCCCCTTAGGGTTTGTTTACAGAAATTGAAATCACATTTGGTTTAAAGGAAAGTCCATAATTAAAATTCACCTAAGAGAATCTCTTCTCTCCTTGCTTGCAAGCTGTAGAATTTTAACCCTATGTGAGATGAAACTTTTTCAATTCATGAGAGAAAGTGTTTTAGTAGCGATTTCCCGGGATTTCAATAAAACCTCATGAATATTGGATTTATAAATTCATGGGGTAGTTAGTATTACATGTGATTTCATAGGATTTATTTATAATAATGTTTTAGGATATGTTGAAAAAGTTCATTTTGTAATAATCAATTAATAAAAAGTAATTTAAGTGTTCCTATAATTTGTAATAACTAGCTCTCGCGGCTTCGGTGTATTTTGTTTGGTAGGAACATAATAGAAGATTGTTTATTGTTCATAACCCAGCGGCTATGCAGCTTGTGAAAGAGATAAAGTGTAAAATATTTATGCATGCAGCTTGGAGGCAGAATAAGAACGAGAAGACCTGTATTACGAATGGGTCGTGATCCTTTATTTGGTGGGTTTTGGTGGTTTGAAGCATAACATTTAATAACTCTCTACGAGGTGATAAATGTACAAAAAGTAGAGTTTTAATGTGTTTTCAAAAATATAACTGAGCATATTTATAGATATAGAATTAATTTCTTGTTTTTGATTGTCTTATTATAAGAATAAAAAGATGTGTAATTTATTGCTTGTGAAAATAAAAATATAATTTATAGATAACATATGTCAATTTGGTATATTATTATAAGGTGTAATAATATTACCTTCTATAATGAAAAATCCAATAAAATTGTGACATGGAATTTGGTTATAGTAGGAAATTATCAAATTATGTTTTAGTTTAAAAAGATGATAAATTATCATTTTTTTTCTTCTATGAATATCTCGAGTTCTAAAAAACGTAATAGAAGATAAATAATTAATTGTTTACAAAAACAATCTGCAGTCTTCAAAATGAAAATAACAAAATTGCCAATCTAAGATATCTAGATCGACTTCAAAATCCATATTTTGTGGAAAATTGAGAAAGTAATTCAAAATGAAAACATATCATTCCACGTTTTGTGTATCTCTAATCTCATGGAGATATTGGGGTATCTAACTGGTTTTCTCGAAACTTCAGAGATGAAGAAAAAATACACCAGCAGCTGATGTTTTTTTTTTTAAGTATATAATAATTACATACGGCAAATAGAACAAATAAACTCACACACCCTCCTCATCTATGATGAGGTTTGAACCCTTGACCTCCTAGAAGGCCAAGAACTCACATACCGCTAGGCCAAAGGCCCTTTGGTACCAGCAACTGATGTTGCCATAGACTTTTTATGTTCCTCCTTATATGGTTTCTCTAATTTCCTTTCGTTTGCTTCTAATCGCAGACAACATAGTATATAGAGAGAGATCGAGAAAACAGAAGTAAAAAAACCCATAATTATTGCTTCATATCTTTTCATAGATGCATAGAAAGATAGAGAGAGGCATACTGCCAGCTATAATGTCAATCCATAATTTCTTACCAGGATCGAGAGATGGAGAAGAGCAAAAAAGTCTATGATAGAGAAATGTAGAAGAAAAGGAATTGTAATGGCAGAAGATGAAGAGTAAAGAAGTTTATGGTAGAGAGATGTAGAAGAGAATGAATTGTAACGGTAGAAGATGAAGAGTAAAAGCTTTAGATTAAATATAAAAACCTAAAATAAAAGAGAAAAATTGAGGAAAAAAGGAAGGCATGAATACTGATATGAGAAGACGCCATATCAACATTACATCTTTTTGCTTTATAGATACATATAGATAATTTGTTCTTATAAATTATTTATAGAAATCAGAATTCAATTCTAATTTCAAATCCTACAAACCCAGACACGTCAAAGATTTCAAATACTTTAAAAACAGTCTGTCAAACCAAACAGGCTCTTAATAATTTTAACTCTCGAGACATACTTGGATGGGTAATATTTATATCTTCCAATTTAATAAATTAGAATTTGGATAGGACCCATTTAAAAGAAAGCCACATCCCTAAAGTTTGATGGATGGCATTCCCAAAGGGTATATGGTCAAAAAGAGTGGTGGAGACCAATGTCCTTTTTTTAGGTATTGGGATGGGAGGCATCTTGTCTCTTTTTCATTCACATGCTTTGACAACTTGTAAATTTTCGCTAAACAGAAAAATGACGATAAAAAGAAACATCGGTTTTTAGTTCAAGCGGAAAGAAAATCGATATTATGCTCTATGATCACACGCAACGGTAGTTGTCAAGAAACAAAAAAAGAATATAGAGTATCCAAGGCATACTTCTGTTATAACTAATAAACATATGAAAAATAAATAACTGTATATCCCCACACAGTGGCAAGGTCTAAGGGTAGAATGTATGCAAACTTTGCCTCTGCTCAAAAGGATACAGATTAAAAAAAAAAAATAGCAGAAGGTGTGTGCAAACAAGCATTAGTTAACAAGTTGTAGAAACTCTACAACTTTTATATGCATACTTGCTACCTGACCTTTTGGCCATTTTGAACTTTGGTCTACCACTACAAAGGAAAGAAACTTGTTACTTTACCCCTAACAAACAACTACAAGTTTGGCCTAAAGTAATCTATAACAACTTACRTTTTGACCAATTAAATTTGTCGTAAACGACATGATAACCAACACCGAAAAAGGTTGGGGGCGTTTGGTTCCGGTAGAGGAATGAAAATAGGAATGAATTTGCATCCTCATTAATTACCTCGCCTTAGTTTTTTGAAAGAAAGGGTCGATGCATCATTTACAACATATTTTCATTGATCTGTTTCACAATATCAGCTTGATGACATGATACAACTGAATGCAATCTTTTACCSCAAAGGAGTAAAAAATTATTAGAAATATGAAAGTAAACATTCAAATGTAAGTAAATTGGCTCTTTTTCAAGGTGAATTCATTACTCAAAAGTCAACTATAACATTCTTTGCTACTCCTATCCAATTTAGGGGAGGAAGTTTGCACATACAAATATGGGGTTAACACTAAAAGGAAATAGATAAGAAAGAATAGAATTGAACTCACAAGAATAAACAATGTGGGAAAGTGGCAGACTACCGCTACCACCCGAGTGCCGATCATTCACCTAGTTTGCAACCCCGGATGTATGGATGGTCAAACTTGATGTATTTGACCCAATACGAACGGTACCTAGTCATAGCCAACTCGAGCCATGGTTTCATGTTACCATTGTAGTGAATGACGGCTGCGTTCTCGATATCGCTCTTATCAATGCTAGGATTATAGCCGAGACCAAGAACATGCCAAGATTTGTCAAGTGGATGTGTAAGCCCATAAAATGTCATTAACCCTGGAGGCAAAGTCCCAAGCTTCCATAGAACCCTGTCTTCATTCTGATATCAACACAAGTGATAAYGAGCCCCATTAGCAAAATGAATGATGAACCCAACCAAAAACAAAAGCATTAGTTCAACGGGGCAGGAATTTTGAGAACTATTCATGATGAATATCATGATATATATTCATAATGAATATCATGAATAATGAAAATGCATGATATTTATGCTGAATAATGTTTTATGAATAATTTATAAATAGTTGACTCTTAAAAAAATTCGGTTCCTAAATGAAACTTTCCCTGGTTCAATAAATGGATAGATTGCAAAGAAGAAAACGTACCATATTTTGCCACTTATGGTAAATGCCGGTTATATCCCGCTTTTTCCACTGCTTGAGATCAAACACGTTCATTCCGTATGCCCAACCACATGCGTTTGGGTCAAAGTTTCGTGCAATATGGGGATTTGAGAAATTTAAATACTTGTCGAAACGGTGGAAGCTTTCGCCACAAGTTTCAACAGCACCATTAACTTTCCCACGAAGATCAACTTTCCATAACCCCGTCAAATCTTTCTGGACAACAATGTCGTCRTCAAGAAACAGGATTTTGTTTAATTTGGGATAAACCTGTGGAAGATAAAACCTAAGGTGATTTAGCATAGAAAGATACTTTGGATTCCTATATTTCAGATTGGAAGATCCAGCCGAGAGGGTTGTGTGATGATCGGCTTTGAAGTAAAACTCCTTCATTGCCGCAGACTCTAGTTGTCGAAGAACTGGGCAGTAGGATGAATTCAGCCACTTAAATTCGTCAACGTTTTCTACATGGATCGTGGCTTTACCAGGAGGGTTCAGTAGAAACCACATATTCATCGCTCCAAAGTTTAATTTATCAGAAACAAGATGGAAAACATGTTTCTCTGGTTCCTGTATTTCCAGCCAGGTAAACATAATTAGTCCATACAAACAACTGCTAAATTGTCAAATTGCTTCTTTATTTTGAAGAATTTGTTGMAAACGAATCATCCAACAGAGGTATCCCTTCGCATGCTTAGTTCAGTTTGAGATAATCATCAACTTACCTTCAAGCTTCAGGGAAGTTATGATGACAAAATATTGAAAGCATTGATGTTCGTCCACAAGATTCATCTATTCTGACATTATTTTAGGGTATTTTAAACATTTTGACTAACATCAACACTTTCTTTACGAGTAAYTGCCTTTTTGAACTATCATTCTTGACATTACGTAGCATCATGATGTTTCACAAAGTAGATCTTAACCTCACCTCCTTGGTGGTCAAGGGTCAATGGCCCAGCAGCACCTGGGCTACCCTTAGATCCCAACCTCCATGAAGGTGAAGGGTTCGAGTGTGTGTGAGTTTTGCCATATATAAATATTATATACTTCAAAAAAGAACTAATGAGACTATATAGGTTTTACCTTAGCATTCATGATCGTAGAGTTGACGACAACCGATGCAGCCAATACGTTATCGGAGAAGAGAGCATAGTGATATAGACTTGGATTCTCAAGGTTCTCACTCCTAGGGAACTTTCTCTTCTCTAGTGGAAGAAGGTAATATTCTATTGTTAGGCGCATTGATAAGCAATGAATTCCATTTGGAATCGTTTTTGCCGCTAACTGGCTTAGAAACGTGCTCTGCTTTTTCAAGCTACGAACTTGCTCATCTGCTGATTGAAGCATAGCTCTCAGCTTCCCTGTAACCAACTTGCAGTCGTAAAGTTGATCTCTAGCCTTTGACAGCAACTGGCCCATGGCTTTGATTTTCTCCGCGGCACTAAAGTCAAATGTGAAGAAAGACACAAAGTCAAGATAAAGAAAAACTTAGACTTGCACAAAAGCATAGAGATGGGTAAAAGACCAGACTTTTCGGTCCAGACCACACCACGATGTCATCAGGCCGAACCAAACCAAACCAAACGTTGGTTCTTAATCGGTCCAAATAATTTTAGGCGGACCGGTCTTTTTAAAGACCAGATAAATATTGGATAGGATTAAAAARTGGGACCAGACCGTCTGTTCTTRCCCTGCCGGACTCGGGCTTTTTTAGGACTGCTTTGACCAGACCAGATTTTTTATAACCGGTCTGTGCCCATCTCTACAAAAACATACATACACACTACCTGCGATTGAGATCAGTATCTGTTGTTGCATCTCCTAAAGCGCGTTGACTTTCTTTAATTCGGTTCTGTAATTCATGAGCCATGTTTGTCTTGTTCTTCATCGTTGCTATGCTCAAATATACCCTAGCCATGATGATTTGATCTCTCATCAATCGAACGGTAGAGTCTACGTTCTCATTATCAGTCTCTTTCCTCCATATACTGTACTTCCCCAGAACAGCAGAATCAACCGATTTGGACCGTTCAATGGCTGCATTTTCAAGCATCAAATTTACATTGTCTTCTTGTTTCATTAGATCAGCTGCCCGCTTTTCACGTCTTTTTTCTCTCAGATGCTACATGTAAGATAAACAGAGTAAGTTTAATCATTTAAACTTTTGAAGGTACGCTTATCAAAGGGAAGAAGTCTAAGAAGTGTGTTTATTAATTAAACCAAACCAAATGGACCCAGTAATTTCACTCAAAGTAGGGTCTAAGGGGGTGAGATTATGCAGAMTAGACCTCTACCCCCAAAGAGTAGAGCTGTTGTTTCCGTGAATATTAACTGGAAAGTTCAAAGTTACCCTTCTTGCTAGATTTGTGGGTGTATCAACATATTGAGAATGATCAGCTGCATTGAGAATAATATGCACGTAATTTAGATTCATATATGCATGAACGTCTTATGGAAACATCAGTCAAAAGAACATCATTACCGTCCAAAGAATTGTCCTGTTTGCCTTTTGGGGTCTCTTGATTSTTATTTGCAGCAATCTGCTTCATTAACGTGTCGGTGTGTAGATCAAATCAAAAATGAGAACAAGAAACAAATGAACCATGTGAAGGTAAAATYGATGTCATACAAACCTCAGCAGAACCTGAATCAATATCAATCGCATTTTCTCGCCCGGAAAACTTCCAAGAAGCCGAATAGTTGCTTTTCCGAAAAGAATCAAGACTCAAAGGCCCCAGGTCGTCAGTGTTCGTCTTAATGACATCAATAACCTAAAACATAAAACAAACAATATAAAACCATTAAAACCAAAAGTAGCGAAAGAATAATGGTTTAAAGAACAGAAGATTCAGTAACATGCCTCCTTTGAGAAAAGAAACTTGACGTGTTGCAAAGCAAGCCTTGTTCTCCAATCTACATCCTGCATCTCTCGATGAATGTCAGCATCATACCATTTGACAGATATATGATATAAATGTACAGAAGCTTACCTGTTCACTAACACTACTCAAAGWATCATTTTGATCTGCATAAAACGAAATAAGAAATAAGAAAAAATAAGTATATGTTAAAAAGATATAAATCAAAGGGATAAACTTTCATTTTTATCCAAATACCAACAACAAATGGTTAAGCATTTGATGATTCAAGTATGCGATTAACTCTTGTCCATGTTTCAAAAAGAAGAAACTGCAGCAAGTTTAGTGACACCTCATGGAACTCAAGGGTAATAATTATGAATTAGAAGCACTTGACTCATGTTGCATGTGTATTAGAACATCTACCSACTTGCAAACTCATTGTAAGATTAATAGTCTTCTCAAACGTTCATAAGGACCTATTCGTTTTCCACCAATGACCTACGATCTCTACTTTGTAGGTCCCATCTCGATTCTCCTCGCATCAAATAAACAGGAATCATCCTGACTTTTTCATTTCCCTTCATATATATATGTGTGTGTGTGTGTTACTTTGAAAGGAAATTATTGAACAAACAGTAACGAATGACACATAAGACATCCCATAAACTAGTTTACCAATAAACTAGCTAGACCAATGAGTGTTTTCGAAAATGATTGCATCTCGAACCTACACTTTTGCCAATAATCGATCTTTTTCATAGTTTAACAACTTAATTCAGTCTGTTAACTGACAATTCAATCTTGAATAAGCCGCATAGAATGTAACTACTACACTTTAGAGAATCGTGAACATCATTAAATATCCATTGCCAGAACCAAAAGCAACCATAGAATCAGGTTGCAATCTTTGTTCATCAGAAAACAATCTTGATTAGGTATCCAATTCTTTGGGCTTTGAAAGAATCCATTAAACCAAAACTAAGGCAATTGTATAAATAAAGAGATAACATRCCACCTTCATTACGCTTACACCTGAAGATAAACCAAGTCAACAAGACAATCATTCAACTCAATAAAGCTCAAATTAGTAAAATGGCAATTGGCAAGAACCCTAGCCATATATCTCAAAGATCAYACTATCCACATAGAAGTCAGTGAATTGGAAAAGATTACTAACCGAWTGAATCAGTCGAATAAATCCCACGCCCAATGAAGAACATCGTGGGAGCAAGAACTAAAATTAACACAAGAGTGCCAATTGGAAAACGAGATCCACCACCGCCTCTGTTTCTATGGACGCCCAAACTTGATACCCCCCTCTTGATCGCCATCTTCAATCAATCAAKMAAGAAAGAAAAAACATCAATAACAAAGGAAAAACCCCAAAAACTTGGCACCATTTTTCGGGTGTCTATGCATGATCAAACACAAAGATAAAGACATCTTACTGGATTCCGGGGAGGAAGAGAGATCACGTTGTTGAACTTGCTACTTTTAGAACAACAATATCATTTTACTTCTGAACAAAAAGATCAGTAAAGTGAGAATTTGCAGGCCCTAGGGCTATGAATGCACTGTTATTGGTGTCCTAGGGAGGGGGCCCAAGAGCAAAGATCTGCAATGGCGGACTAGGGTTTTGTGAAATCAAATCCAAATAAAGATTTTCAACAAATTTTGAACGATTTCTGACTGTGATTCGTACCAATTTCCTGTTAATCTTCCACATCACAACGACRCCATTTATGCCAGGGCTTTGTTCAAGATTTTCAGATATTTCCATTAACACCCCCTTAATTTCACACTTGTCCATTTTACACCATATAATTTACTTGCAACGTTGATTGGGTAAAACTGACAATTACACCCATTCGTCTAGAGTAATTATTAGCTGTAAATTATTATTTATTAAGTATTTTATAAAATGTATATTTAATGTAAATTTTTAAACAAGAATCAACCATAAATACAAAAATAAATTACGTAAATGCAAAGGGTTGGGAAGATGATTCACAAAATATGCTAGAGTCGCTATGAATATGTAATGCCCGTATTTCTTCGAGTCATCATATTTTTAAAATTCGAGAATTATTGTTGCATCCGACATTTAATTTTGGGAAATTWATGTTTGGTTGCAAATATTTAGTCTTGGTTTGTCTCGAGTCGAATCAAGATCGAAAGTTGATGAAAAATGGAGTTTTTGGAAGTCTAGGCGGCTCAAGCCACGGGAAAAGACGCCCAAGCTACTGGATGGGTAGCATGGGTTGTGTTGGTCGATCAAAAGAAAACAGAGGTTGGGACCACCTATTGGGCGACCTAAACCGTATGGGGAAAAGTCGCCTGCGTGCTGAGGTGTGAGTCGTACGCAGCGTGGGAAGAAGGATCCGGCGACCTTTGGTCGCATGAAGCTAGGCACCCAAGCACGCACTATCTCAGGATGGCATGGGAAAGGAGACCATGGCATGAGTTCAAGGGCACGACACGGGAAAAGAACCGGGCGACTTGGGGTTGGCGACTTAAGCCACCTGGCATGGTCGTGTCGCGTGCCCAGTGCCTTAGGCATGGCTCCAGGGCCCACCCCTTAGCCATTTTTTCTCATTTCCTCACTTCCCTTATCCTTCCCTCTTTCTCCTCTTAACTTTTGAAGATACTTGGAACCCTATATCCAAGTTTGCAGCTTTTGGAAGGTGTAGCTTGAAGATTTGAGGTTTCAAGAAAATGGAAGGTAGGGTTTAAATTTCACTCTYATAATCTAGGGTTTTGATCTTCTTGCACTCACAACCTCTAATTTCTTCCGTATGGTTCATTTTGGTATTTTGGGAGCTTAGACCGGGAGTTTGGCTTAAGTTCTCAACCCTTTACCAAAAGAAAATCAAGTTTTGGAGTAAAACCCTGATTTAACGTAAATCTAGCAAGTTGAGTTCTAGTTGTTTTGCAAAACTATATACATGTCAAAATACCTCCGCTTTGGATTTTAAATGCATATTGATGGGTTTATTTAATATTAGTTGATTTTGTGCTATTGGGTAGGTTCTGGATCTCAAACTTGAGAAAATGTTTATAATGGATTTATTTGATATTTTTTGAGAAAATGTTTATAATGGAATTATTTGATATTTCGAGACATAAACCTTCAAAGATTGCTCCAAGTGATACTTATTGTGTTAAATGAGACYTCTTGRATGTTTGGWTAATTTGGGAGCAATGTAGTGTTTTAATTCTTGAAAATTTTGATGTTCAGGATTTAACCCAACTTATGAATTTTAATGGTGGCATTTGAGCCCTCTTAGTCATAAAAGCATAAATCTTTATTAAGCGCTTTTGACTATTATACTTCAACAAAGTGATGGTATATGGACTTATCCATGTTATAGGTGTCATGTATGTTCTTTTGACTCATGTGAGTTATATTGACTTTATTTAAATAGTCAAGTATTTTATGGGGAGTTTTGACTTGATTTTTAACTCAAACGAGTTTTATATATTTGGTAGATATTACATGTTTTAGGTGCGTTAGTCATTCAATTGTGGTCATGTAATTTCAAACYGTAATGCATTAGATCCATGGATATAAGAGTTTGTCTTSTTGTTAAGCATGGAGTCTTGATGTCCATACTTAAGTCTAGTGAGTGGTCCCCAAGTCATGAATAAAGTTTTTACGGTCGGTGGTACCCTATTGGGTCAGCTATTAGCCTATGGTGGTACTTGGTTGAGTTATATATGGGGTTTGGTCTTGCGGTGGTGCCCGTTGGAGTCGTATATGGATACCGATGACTTTTATGATGAGACTCATCTAGAGGTTGAGTAGACATTAGGGTCATTGRGGGAATTTTACGGTAATACTCATTTGGAGTCGTATATGGGGATTCATGCTCCRAGGTGAAACTCGAGAACATTGATAAGTGGCTCACTCATTTTCAATGGAATTGTGTMTGTCCCGTCATTGAAAGGTGTTGTTTTCGGGTACTTCATGCCCATGTTTTCAGTGTTTTGAATATATAACTTATTCTATATAATTGTTGTTTTGRAATTTGTTTCGCACRTTTCGGGTGAGTTTGGATATTGGGTATTATCTAAAACGGGTATTTGAATTCGAAACAACGATCTTTATAAAGATGTTCCTTTTTATGACTTGTGTTTTAAAAGATGGGTTGTTAATTTAAGGAAAATGTTCGTTTTAACCGCTTTAACTCATTAAGCACTAAGGTTAACATTTATATCAGGTCTTGATGGGATMTGTGTGTCGTTCAGAGCTTTGTAGAGGTTCCGATAGAATGGCTTTAGAAGYGTCATCCGGTTTTGAAGATGGCAGACGTGATGATTTTTTATATGYTTATAGTTGATTCTGGAGAAAAAGATTGGGACCGTTTTGGGCCCGCCCAGGAGGCCAGGACTGAGCTTCGTATATGGAGAATGGACAAGGTGTTTTTGGTCGTTACCAGGACCTGTTACAATGGAACTGGTTACAAAAGGAAAATCTCATACTTGAATCGATTTGAACCCTATTCGAAACCGTTTTTTTTTAATCATCTCTACACACAATCATTATGTTATTTCCTAGTATATTTTTAGTCTTATAAAAAAATGTAATGAAATAGAGAAACTATGAGAACTGAACTTTTACGGTAAATTTATATAAAATATTTTATTCTGATCACAAAAATTTACCATTTGATACATTTTGTTGTAATAAAAGTTCTTCACCAGATGTTCCTATTGCATCCTTAAATAAAATCATGGCATACTTGCATGCTTCCTAAATATTTATACTATATTATAGAATATTTGATAAAAACTCTTAAAATCATTTTTTATAAATGAAAGTACTATTTTAATGCATGTTACTTAAAATTTAAGATTACAAATAAATTGTGCATAAGTACGGCTTAATAAAGCTCCATGTTTTAATTTGTGTAATTAGCTACAAATAAACATAATCAAATATATGATAAACATCTCATTTTAAATAA